TTTATTAAGCTCTGATATTTCGGAATTGCGTGGTCAAACGTCCCACATCTAAGTGTTTTTAATAATATTAAAATGTTGTGCTTCAGAGTACAAACTATGATGGACTTAAAATCTCAGCAAACTGGAAAAGCATTTGAGTAACATTAAACCTCTGTGTGCTCCTGAACGTCAAATCTCCCAGTTCTTCAAAACCAGTTAATTCCTAGGGCATTGTAATATTTCCGATAGCACAGGAAGGTATCGGAGTGCTTTCCTTTCATCCAATGGCATTGAGCGCTGGGCCAGATGATTGGTGACGAAAGCAGCCTAGCGTTTATTTAGGCTCTGCTACTTATTTGTCTCTGTGTCGCCGCCATTAAACAACACTGACGCGATGTAGCGTCGTGGATTTATATCATGATTCGGGGAGCACAGAGAGAGGCGTTGTCAAGACGTGGTTTATTCAGCGAGAGGTTAATGTGTTTGTTATGGTAAACATGTGAGTGACCAAAGGGGTCTAAATAAAACTGATTGGGAAAAGCTTGATAGGGCAGGAGGAGGAGGAGGAGGAGGAGGAGAAGAAGGGGGGTCTGGAGAAGAAGGGTTTGTTGTGGTTTTCCACAGCACTTGAGAGACGAGCACAGTCGCCAAACGGTAAGAGTTTGACACATTTTGCCTCATATATGCCGTATAATGTAATGTTCCATGATTGTAACGTTACTTTTTAAGACGTTTTCGTTAACTGTTGAAATTGATGTTAGCTGTGTATGCTAGGTGTTTAGCTTCCCAGCTAGCAAGTGAACACTAAGACTGAAGATTATTTACATTCATAAGCAAGAAATCCACTACTCATGTGAATTAAAGCCAGACTGTGGGCCATGCTCTGTATTGAGAGTGATAAAGAACCGTGAACAAGCAAGTTATTTTTTCTTTTTTAAATCACACCACAATCTCAGGAAGCCAGTGTGTTTGAAGATCCCCGAACAGATGTTACGTTGGTTTACAACCTGCTGGAACATATACATGGAGTAACATCGTGAAGACACTTGATTTGGTGTTAACGTTAAGTAAAACACAACGCCCGTTTATCGTGTTTTTAAGTTTTCGATTAAGCATTTTTGCCTCATATCTAACTGGATTTATTACCACAGATTGACCAGCCGAAGTGACCATCCACCATGACGGATCAGAAGGTGAAGTGGGCCTGTGACTACTGCACCTACGAAAACTGGCCATCTGCAATCAAGTGCACTATGTGCCGTGCGCAAAGATCCAGAGGTGCCATCATCACAGAGGAACCTTACAAGAACAGCCCTGATCTGGGCTCCAGTCTGGAATGGGACCCTCCCAGAACTGAGAACGGCAGCAGCCTCCTCATCTGCCCTGATTCCAGTGCTAGGCCAAGAGTTAGGTCAGTGAGCATGGCTGAAATTGCTAACAAATGGTCCTGCCAGATGTGCACCTACCCGAACTGGCCGCGGACCGCCCGTTGCACGCAGTGTTTATATCAGCACCCGAGGACCAGTAGCCCTACTGAATTCCCTCAGACGTCAGGGTCCAATGCAGGCTGTCGCCCCGGTCTTCACTCTCCTATGGACACCTGTGAGGAGTACAATGACAGAAACAGACTCAACACCCACCAGCAGCACTGGACATGCGCAGCATGCACTTACCAGAACTGGCCCAAAACTACAAAGTGTGTGGTGTGTAATCACCCCAAGCCCAACAACCAGGAAGCCATAGAGCTGGCTGAGTCTGTAGAGCCGTCACCCATGATAAATGAGCAGGACGGGACCTGGTGGACAAGCAGCTGCAGTGGAAGCCAAGACCAGAGGCGGTCCCCTCCTATGCCCAAGAAAGAAGACAATGTGAAAATGGACTTCCAGAGGATAGAGCTTGCAGCTGGAGCCATGGGCAGCAAAGAGGAGCAAGAGGTTGACTTCAAGAAGCTAAAGCAGATTAGAAACCGAATGAGGAAAACAGATTTACTGTTCCTACATGCATGTGCTGGTGAGTTGTTATCTTACTACATGCCATTTCTATGAAGGATAAAGTGATTAAATGATTAGTCAAGCCGCAGAATCTACTATTTTTGGGTTTCGGACTGTTGGTTGGAATAAACAGGCAATGTAAAGTCATCACAGTGGGATCTGGGAACATGTGATGTTGTTTTCAACATGTTTTGGTACTTTCTAGACTAAATTGAAAAAAAAAAGTGTATTACTCAATATTGAAAATAAAAAGGCAGCACGTGGTGTGGTGGTGGTTAGCGCTGTTGCCTCACAGCGAGAAGGTTCCAGGTTCGAGCCCCGGCCGACCCGGGGCCTTTCTGTGCGGAGTTTGCATGGGTTCTCTCCGGGTGCTCCGACTTCCTCCCACAGTCCAAAGACATGCAGCTTAGGTTGACTGGTGTCTCTAAATTGCCCGTTGGAGTGATTGTGTGTGTGAGTTCGTCTGTGTGTTAGCCCTGCGACCCTTTTGGGACTAAGCGGTTTAGAAAATGGATGGATGAAAATAAAATAGATATTGCTTCACAGGACCCTTCTCCCATTTTTTCCTTCTAACAGCACTAAAATTGTGACACTACCTTTTTGTTTCCTTCAATGATGTCATGCTGAGTGATGACAGAGTGAGATAGTCCAGTCAGGGGCAACAGTTATGTTGTTTGTCCCAATGGCAGAACATTTAGTTTTTGCTTAGTTTACTACAACGTAAATGGTGACTCACCCTGCAATTGTTGCATAGTAGTGTGATCTGCTTGGTGTTTTATTAATGGGTGTCAACATGTATCATTGTTTAGACTGTAAATATTTGAGTAAAACAGCAATTTTGTGAAACCTGGGGCTGGTAAGGTCTGTGTAGTGTTTTAACTAGGTGGTGCCTTCAGGTGGAAATGTCCACTGTAATGAGATATTCATTATCAACATAGCATAAACGATGCTGAATGGCAGCATAATAAAGATGAACAGCTAGTGGGAATTTGATACAACTCATTACTGAACCCCTTAGCTGCCACTGAGAGTGTCTTTGAGAAACTGAGAGAGTGTGAGTGCTTCCCAGCCGGTGGGGATGAATGGGCCGTCTGGGCACAGCAGTGAGAGTGGAGCCCATGGACCAGAGACGCTCTTGGCTTGCAGCCAACTTGCCCTGTAAACAGAGGTGTTTGTGTGCAGAGTGAGGGCACGCGGGAGGCTAAAATAGCCTTGACAACCCATGAATACTAGTCAACAAAAAAAGCACGATGGCAGCACATGATCAGCATCCTCCTGACCTTTGCACTAACTGCCCTCTACAACTTGTTATTAAGGAATAGGGAACATTACTCTGAAGTCGCAGTGAGACCTTTTTTTTTCCAGACATTTAACTCCCTTTTGATTAAATTCTTAGTGCTTTGGTGCAATTTGATTCATGTCAGTTGACTCATTTCTGTTATGTTATATGTGCTACAGTTGGGCTCTTTGACGTGTTTGTCAATGGATGGAGGAAGTGCATGAGACTAACAGTACATTATGGCCAGGCCAAGCACTTCCTTATGTCGCACAGCTTTCTCTCACTTAACTGTTGCCTCTTGTTTCTGGTCTGTTTTTTAGAGCTCTATATTTGGGCCAAATTTGGATGATTGCATCAATTCTACTTCTGCACAAAAGGAAGCGGCTTCTGTTTGTGTAGTATTGTTCTTTTATTTCATTTAAAGACCAACTGTCGAGTCTTTCAGTTGCAGATGATGTTAGTTAAAACATACATTATCATGTTTATAGTTTGATGTTGTGGGTAGTTTATGTAATGATTGTAAAAACACTCCGGAGGAGCTCAGCTTGCTTTGAGTCAGCATCTACTTCTGGATCTGTTTTTGCAAAATATTTTCCAGCATGCATGACAGCAAAAACAGGCTTTCATGGCCCTTTACAGTCCAGGTTCTTTAAAGGTAACTGTCCTCAGTCTGTTAAAATTAACCCACCCTTCAGTGTTCACTGTGCTACCTAGCTGCTGCTGCTCTTTTCGCTCATAACAGATGTTGCGTAGGGGACAGACACTAATCTGCACAGACTGTTCCCCTGTCTGACATATTGTAGCTCTGCATGACAAGCTAGCTACACTGGTCTGTTCTTGTGTAGTAGCTTGATAGTGCTCCAACTGTTCTCATACTGGGTTAGCAAGTGGCTACATCTAGAGGTCATATGAACTGTGGATCATCATCATCAGGTGCTAGGGCTCTCTCTTCACTCTGAATTCTTTTTGCCTTTTCTCTAGATGAATTTGTTATTCAAATTTCTCCTGGATTTTAATATTATGGCTTGTGGCAGGAAAGGTATGATGTGTTGGCTCAGTTTGATTGACTTTTTTTTTTTCTGTTATTCGTTCTTTAAGCATTGTAACCTGTCTGGTTCGATTTATAAGCAAGGGCATTGGTTTGGAGCTGCTCCAAAATCCAGTCTAATCCATTTGTGAAGCATTGGTCTGTTTTAAAAGGATTCCTATTCTATGTTAATTTTACTTTGTAGACATGCTTGAATAAGAAGCATTAGTATTTGCTGTAGCAGATTCATATATCATTTGCCAATTTATTCGATACACCTAGCTAAAACTAATGCGGTCTAATACAAGTCATGAAATTAAAAACTACAGGTTTAGAGGTGGTGTTCCATAGCTCTGAAAGCATTATTATGCGGTGATGTTTCTAAAGTTTAGTCTACCATCATTGATATAAATTGCATGACTAATAAACTGAGTTTATATATGCCTTGTGATGACAGCAAGGGGTGTGTGTGCAGCTGCTGAATGTGAATTGTTTTTCTGTGCTGCACTCTTCCTTCTTTGTTAAACACAGAATGTACACAATGTAGATGATTAAACTTCCATCTGAATTTAATAGCCTGTGTACATAAATTCCTGGAAAAGCAGTCACACCAGTAAATTGCAGCAATGGTCTATTTTTGCATTTGTTTTTTATTTTGTGATCTTCCTTCCTGCTTCTGCTACAGGCGTGGTGGATGGAGACCTGGCGGCAGTGGAGGCCTACAAGTCATCCGGAGGTGACATTGCCCGGCAACTCACTGCTGACGAGGTGCAACTCCTCAACCGGTCCTCAGCATTTGATGTAGGCTTCACCCTGGTCCATCTGGCCATTCGCTTCCAGAGGCAGGACATGCTAGCCATCCTGCTAACAGAGGTAAGTGTGCTAAAATATCTTGTTTCTCTGAAACACCTCTCTGGAATAAAAGCTACACCATCATCTTTGTGCAGGTGGCCCCAGAAATGCACTATGAGCTTATTGGGTTGTTCTGTTACACCAAGCAGCAGAATCAGTAGCTGTGACAGAATTTTTCTTTAAGAAGACTCCTGAAAATTAAACATCTCATAAAAAAAGCAGTACTTGCCAGTTATCATGTGACTTCCTTCATAGGAGTGCATTATACAAAGTCTCATTATCTAAATTGGTCATATTACCCAACAGGAAGTCGGAGGTGTTCCTGTAATTTTGATGCTGTTCTGAACTTCTCTTTCTCACATTAGTTTATAATTGTTTCATGCGAGAGCAGATGCCTGTAATGCCTACAATTACGGACAAAGTGCACTTTGAAGATTAGGTGCAGGATTAGCCTGGCTACAGTCCTGTTACTGGTTCCTAATGGACATGATGTCAGAGCTGATGTTGTTTGCAAGGAGGTCAAGCAACATTTGGGAAAGGCAGACTGAAACAAGTCACTAAGGTTGGAGGAGAAAGATGGCCTTTTCACTGTGTATGGCAGAGTTAATTGTCAATATGACAAATACATATAATATTGCACATCTACATAAATAAAACTGGATGATTTTATTATATTGATGTTTCCTTTTAATCATGTCATGAAACAGTCTGAAGATAGATGTTGTGGCTCAAAATTTGTCATGTGACAATAAATGACACTGAATAGTTTTGCTATAGTTTTATCACAGTCTTATGTTTTAAATACTTGGACACCAATCAGCCAAAACATTATGACCACCTGCCTAATACAGTGTACTTAAAAGTCAATGTGGCAGTTGACTGGAACTCGTGTTACTCTGACATTCACAGAGCATTTTGTGTGAATCTGTTTGCTTCAACAGTTGTACTGTCTGAAAGCCTGGATTTGTCTACCCTTTTAGTGATACACATATGTAAAAGGAGTGAAAACTGAAGACAAGTTGGAGATCATTTTGTAGACAAATTCAGCAGCCTCCCCACTCTAGGTGTGATATCACCACTATAGCTGCTGATTGTTTGTCTTCATAGTGACAAATGTACAATGGTTCTCATTTTCAGCCATTTTAACAAAGATTCAAACAATATGGAATCTTTTGAAAATGATGAATGAAATTTAAAAGTTTAATCTACAGTAGGTCAACCTCATCACAGAGCTTTGGCATCCACTTCACCTGTCAGTGCCTATTGTGTTGTGGTTAATTGGTGTATATATTTGAAAATTGAAGCACGGAAAAGGGGATGCTTGGTTTGATGCAAGACATCCATCTCCCTGCTAGGGCCCATGCTGCTACTGTTCCTTGACAGAGCATCAAACCCCAACCTCATCTACCAAAGTCACCAATAGCAGAAACCAGTAAAAGTTCTAAATATGTCCTTATACAGCTGGTGGATAGCTCAGCGGGTAACACTACTGACATTGGTATGGCAGGTTGGGGTTCAATTCACTGTCAGGGCACAGAATCAGCTTGGGCCCTTAGACAGGGCCCTTAATGCTATCCGCCTAGTGAGTTACTTCACAAATGATATGGCAGGGGAGCCAGGGAATGGGGAGATATCATCCTCCCCCAGATCGGAGATTAAAGATGACAAAATTTGTTTTCCACCGGCTGTATAGGGACACATTTTACTGGTTTCTGCTCTTTGTTAACGCAAGGGAGCGGGGGTGCTTGGTTTGATGCAAGATATCACATGCTGGGCATTGACCACGCAGTTTCTAGCAAATCATAAATATGGATTTATCCTGAATATGCCAATTTCATTAATAATCATAAAATGCTAATTCATATAAGGCTGTTAATTATTAGTCAAGTCAATTTTATTTACACACTCAATCACATATTTGCCTCAAAGGTCAAATGTATTAAAAGTTTTGACGAGGTTTGTCCATGTTGCCCATCCTCATAAATAATCTCTTACTTTCCTAATTGCATGTCTTTCATGTCCATATTTGTGTGTGTGTATTTACCGGTATATCGTGCAACACTAATTCCAATGAATCTGTGTGTATGCCTTTTAAGGTGAATCAGCAGGCAGCTAAATGCATCCCCTCCATGGTGTGTCCCGAGCTGACTGAGCAAATCCGGAGGGAGATTGCAGCATCACTACGTCAACGCAAGGGAGACTTCACCTGTTACTTCCTCACTGACCTGGTCACCTTTACCCTGCCTGCAGGTATGTATCTACGGGTTTCACTTAAGTTCTTGCTGAGCTTGACCTTTACTCGTTACTCGTTGGGCTTCTTTGCATGTGTATAATCAAGCACATCTTTACTCAACCCTCCATTGCCAGAATTTTTTTTTTCTTGTAGTTTCAATAAGCACCCCAAATGAAGTCTCCACTCCAACCAGTCTTAAGACTTGTCTTCTGATTGAATATTACAAGTTACCAGTCTTAAGACTTGTCTTCTGATTGACACTGAATATTACAAGTTCTTTGGGGTGCAGGGTAGAGTGAGGAGATGTCTGTGCTTAAATTGCATGCTCATTTGCAAAATTCGTCTAATTTTGAGCATGGTTTTCCCTGTCTCACTGGAAAACTCAGAGTGGCACCCAGGCTTATTTTGCAGCCCTGCTCAGAGAAACAGCAGCTCAGTGTCCTGTCCCTGTGGTGTAATGTCTTTGCTGAAATTACATGCACTTTGCTTTTCAGAACTACCAGTTGGGATGAAAGCTTATGTAGGCTTCACTGATAGATTAGATTTGTTTTACGTGTGCGTTATGCCAAGTATTTCTTTACGATCTGGATTTGGTCCCAGCTCAGCTGTAGGGCACTCTCTCTCTGTTTCTGTCTCTCTTTCAGACAAAGCCAGTGCCATTTTCTATTGAGCCAAAGAATAACCACCAGTGTTCTGGCTTTGTGTGTGCACAGTTCAATATGCACAGAAACACAAAACATGCTGTACAGAGCTCGTATTTACAGTGTGCCGTTGACAGAATGTAAGGCAGTAAATGGAATTGCAAAGAACATCCCCTCTGTGTGTCATCGCTATAGTGATTCTGTTGCACCATTAGGCTAGAAATGACAGGAAAACATAATATCTTGCATGTCTTTGCAGATATAGAGGACCTGCCACCTACTGTCCAACAGAAGCTGTTTGATGAGGTGTTGGATCGAGATGTGCAGAAAGGTACCAAGATTATTCATATTCATATCTAGGCCTAGGCTACACGGACATGGGTTTTCCCTGTCTACGTGGCAACACTGAAAATAGAGTTTCTAAATATCTTTCACCTTGGCTGGAGTTTTCCAAAAGCTCAGTTTTTTGTGACCTAAAACAACGTTTGCATGTGGATGAAAGGTGAAAACGCATAGAAAAGCTACACTTTTAAAAATGCCTGTGTACATGTGGACAGGGCCCTAGTATCTGCACATGTCCTCAGTCTGTTTTAACTTATCAGGACACTCTTTTTAGCCCAAATGAGATTCTGCTGGTTAAATAAAGGTTAAATAAATCTACGTCCAGTCACAGGTTCTTGTGTTTGCTTATGGATACCTGTGATTTGTAATGTACTGTCAAAGGCGCTTGTGTCTAAAAACCAACATCTGCTCTTTTCCAACCTGCTCACAACCTCCTACTTCACCCTCTGTCTAGTTTACCTCCCACACAGTGGGGAGAACTGGTGTAGGTTTTTGGTTTTGTATAGTAAGTAGCCAAGGAATTTATAAAGGTCTGTTTAATAATGTTTCAGGAGGAAAGGACAAATGCTGAAAAGTAGGTTATTCAATCCAGTTTCACATAATGGCTAACTGCAGCAGTAAATCTTCAATTCTCAAATCTTGGTTTTGTCTCTTGAAGTTTCCTTAGTTGCTTTTACTACAGAGTTTGACAAAAAATGGCCTTAAAGGAACTTGTTCTTGTTTTGGTGCACTCAGCCCACATCAGTGCATTTTGTCTTGTCTCTCTCTGTGTATAGAGTTAGAAGAGGAATCTCCCATCATCAACTGGTCTCTGGAGCTGGGCACGCGTCTGGACAGTCGTCTGTACGCCTTGTGGAACCGCACAGCGGGAGACTGTTTGTTGGACTCTGTTCTACAGGCCACCTGGGGCATCTACGATAAGGACTCTGTCCTCCGCAAGACTCTCCACGACAGCCTGCATGACTGCTCTCATTGGTGAGACTCTGTGCCAAAGTGTTTTTAATTGTACACTAAAAGACCTTTGAGTCAGAAATTTAAGTATACCATTGCTGTCTGGGTTTTTTTCTGTCACTGTTGTAACTATTGAAGTATGTATATCATTACATAAATACACAAATCCTCCAGTAAAGGTTTTCCTGGTTGTCTGCAGCCAGTGGATAACCAGTGTACTCATGCCCTGCTGGCTGGTTAGTGGCTTGATCATTTGACTAGGAAGCTCACTGTAGAAGCATTTCATCAGGATATTTACATACTTTTCTAACAGTCAAATACAGGCAGTAGTAAAAGTGAGTGATGAAAGAGATGTTGTTCTTTTTGATGTTTTACAGTATATAACCAGGTTTCTTTACACGTCTTAAATGTTTTAGCTTGTATGATCCAAATTTAGTGTTTCTAAGGTCTTTGTTATGCTTTGTAGTTGATTTTGACATAAAAATGGTTTTATGAATGTTATGTTTGCTTGCCATACAGCTGCTTTGTACTGGAAGAAATCTAGTTGTTGAGATACTTTGTAGAATAGACTAACTTTTAGTGCAGGTGATAAACTACTACAATGCAGAATAAACCTGAGTTGTGAACTTTAAAAATAGCGTAATGTATAACTTTTTAAATTTTTTTTTTAAGGTTTTACACCCGCTGGAAGGAGTGGGAGTCGTGGTACTCGCAGAGCTTTGGTTTGCATTTCTCCCTGAGAGAGGAGCAGTGGCAGGAAGACTGGGCCTTCATCCTGTCTTTGGCCAGCCAGGTAATTATAAGGTTCCTTCTGCCTTCCTTCCTTCCTTCCTCTAGTTTGCTATCAGTCATAAGACAAAATGGCCCACTATTGTGTGGTCGGTCTGTAAAGGCAGTATGCAAGCGTCATAAATGTGAGGAAACAGAAGTTGGTAAATGCAGTACATCAATTGATGTATTCTCACAAAAGGTTTTGTCTGTTTTTAGTTGTTGGAAAATCAAATATTATTTTTCAGCTGTAGCTTGTTTTAGAAGAGCATTAAAATGCCAGGTGCACATTTAGAAATGCAGGGAGTTTACCTCCTTCTATTGAAAAGCATCTTGTGGAATTTTTTCATAGCAGCCATGGCTGTTTTGCATTTCAGTTTAGGGTTATGTTCCCATCGCTGCACCAAGAGCCACAGTCTTGGTGCTGTCATTTTACAAAGAAGTTAATCAGACAGAGCCCCAGATGTTATGTCTTCACAGCTTTGTATGCAACCGTTGAACAAACACGAAACTCAGTTTGATTTGGAACATGCTGAAGCCCTAAGAGAATGACTGAGAGATGTATCTGAATTGTATGATCCATATACACATGTCAACTGTGGTAAAAAGGTAATAATACTTTAAAAAGTCTGAGTGTGAAAACCAAATTGTAATTGCAAAGATGCCCCACTTTCAACACACTGATGAATGCACATTAAGTTGAAGGCAGTTCAATACTTGGCATGTATCCCTGTTGATGTTTAGCTTTGCGGTGTTGTTCATTCACTTTTATACTAATAAAGTGACGTGCTTTGAACTGAATGGGAGGCATTTCGAAGAGTAGCTCTGTAGATGATAGGTTGTGTGTGAACGACAGGGGGAGGGCATATGCAATTATTACAGATCACACTAAGCTGAAGTTGAAGATTGACAGACAGCCCATCTGCTTGGCTGGCATGCCTGCTGAAGCAGCACTCCTTCCCAACATGTGACCTTGGGATTACATGCATTTAACTCACAGAGCCACTCCGTCTGCAGTATAAGCAAATGCTACAGTGCAGCAGTCTCGTCTGTGGTTTTGACAGTGGCGGAGAGATGAGACCAGTGCTTAAATGCGGGTGACTTTGAAGGCCCCTTTTAACATGAAATGTCACTGGAGCTGTTCTATATTCACAGGCAGTTACTGTGTGTAATCAGCTTTCTGCCTATTCAGATGGTGGAAGACTCAAAAGTAGCAATGCCATAGTGTAAAAATACTTTGTTACAAGTAAAAATCCTGATTTCAAAATGTTTCAAAAATACTAAAAGTAAATGTGTTCATTATGCCGAACAGCTCAGTTCTGTTATTGTATTGTATAATTATTGTATAATTACTGATGCATTATTGTGTACATCACATTTAATGTTACAGCCGGTAAAGGTGCAGCTATTTTAACTTGTATGCTTATAATTTGAAATACCTTACATACTGCTGGGCAGTTTATGAATGTCCCACCGAGGAGCGATGAAGTCTTATGATTAGACTGTATTTAGTTTTATTAATCTAATTCAGAAAAATAACCAGTAATTAAACCAATCAAATGTAGTGAGGGAAAAAAATACAATATTTTTCTCTAAAATGTAGTGAAGTTGATATATCAAGTAGCAGAAAATTAAAACACTCAAGTACAGATACCTCACAACTGTACTTAAATACAGTACATGAGTAAATGTTCGTAGTTACTTTCCGATTCTGGTGGCATGGAGGTGCAGTATTCCAGGTTCACAGTGTGCAGGACAGTCTGTTTTGCAATATGATCGCAGCACTTGAGTGTCAGCTTTCGCCACTATTTTTAGTTCTATTAATATTGAATGTACATTTTTGGGTACTGTATGTGCTTACAACTACTTTGTTTGTGTGTGTCTGCTTCTCTTTCTCTTCCTCCTCCACTCAGCCCGGGGCCAGCCTGGAGCAAACACACATTTTTGTTCTTGCACACATTCTTCGCAGGCCGATCATAGTCTACGGAGTGAAATACTACAAAAATTTCCGTGGGGAAACGTTAGGATACACTCGTTTTCAAGGTGAGACAGTGTTTAGATAAACCTGCAAAATTTAAATATTAAAATATTTATTTGAATGTTTGTACGAGAACATTTTACTCCTGAGTTATTCTTTAAAACCTGTTCATCCCAAGTACACTGACTCTTTTGGCATCCAGATACCTTTACAGGAGCCATTTTCATTGAAGCTACTTTCTACTGAAGATATAGTTCCTATAACTGTTGACATCTAATTTCTGAGTTGCCAGCTGAATGCAGGTGTCTCAAAAATCAGCTGTTTTCTTTTTTACAATTCAAATTCAGTGTATTGATTGTATTTCTAAAAGCCATTAATTAAGTTTGCCTTAGGATTCTACCCCTTTCCACCTACACTGGAACATTCATAAAGGTCCTTGACTCTTGCTGATAGGCTCTTTATGACTTTGAATAAGCCTGAGTTGTATATAAAATCTAAGCACAGCTAGAATGTGGAGGCACTATGTAACATATTACATATTAGTCTGTTGCACAGCCTGTAAAGCAGAAATAAATGTTTTCTGAGTTTGTCACACCACAGGAAGATGTTATTAACCACCTAGTCAAATTTGAATGATTTAAAAAGATCCCAAGTATATAAAATTTGCTTTCAAAATCAAAAAAATCCTGAACTCAAAAGTGATGAAACGGTCTAACTTTCTAACATATAATGTGTTTAGAAACAAAACACTGATTTTTGATTTACCCTGCCTTTAATTTAGATAAAACCTCTGACTCGGTTCATATCCATTCAAATCGGTGTACAGTCAGGCAGAACATTTTAACCAGACAATAACTGGAATGGGTGTAGTACTGGAGTCATAGCTTTAGCTTACATTGCAAGTATCTGCTGATTGGTAGTGTGTGTTAGACCAGGAAGTGGGTCTGACAGAAGCCAGGGTGGAGGGAGGGGAGTGTTCCTGAAGAAGCAGGGCTCCAGACTGCACCACAGAGCTGCTCACAATGACCCAATTGTTTCTAGTCAGCTGAAACACAGCCACTTCTGATATCAGGTCAGATTTGATATGGCGCTTGGCCTGACTTAAATTCACACAGTGTAATTTGAGAGTACTGCTACAGGGCCTGCTCCTCCCAGGTGACTCCAGTGTCATGGTCAACTGTAGCTGGCACCTGGTCTAAATGGCTTTATGTGTGTTGTATGTGTTCAGGTGTGTACCTGCCTCTGTTATGGGAGCAGAGCTTCTGCTGGAAGAGCCCCATCGCTCTAGGCTACACACGGGGCCACTTCTCAGCCCTGGTGGCGATGGAGAACGACGGCTATGACAATCGCGGTGCAGGTGCCAACCTCAATACTGACGACGATGTCACTGTAACTTTACCTTTGGTGGACAGTGAGAGAAAACTGCTGCACATTCACTTCCTGTCTGCACAAGAGGTAGGGCTCTGCTACTGTAAGTTTTGTCTGTTTTGGAGGAATTTATTAGGGCTGCTGAATAGTCGAATCATTAGTTGACATTGCAATTTAAATACTGCATCATATGCAGCTGCAATTCATGTCTGTTGATTTTCTGAGAGAAGGAAAAAGAAGAAATTGTCACGTGAGAGAGCTGATTGATAGTCGACTGACAATCCTTAGTCAGGTCCAGCCCTAGAATGATATTAGAGTCAGGATAAATTGGACTTATTATTTGTGTGCAACTGACCTTGTAGTAAGTATATAATAATAGTAGATTTGTGTAGCAGGAAATGCAACATACCTTGGGTAAGGTTTAAACAAATATGCTCCAAAATAATGTGGGCTATAATGGATAATGTGGGCAATACAAACAAAATATACAATCAGCTTTTCATGCAGCTCATGGTGTCAAGTTACAACAAATTGCTTTGAGCAGGCAGTTGTGGTGTAGATGTTTTAGGCTGTGATACATGACTGGTTAGCAGTGGTTTCATGGTTTCATGCCTTCGAAATGCCCCATTTTGTTACCCAACAAGTAACTACATGTTTGTCGTGAATTCAGATGGGCAACGAGGAGCAGCAGGAGAAGTTGCTAAGGGAATGGCTAGACTGCTGTGTGACAGAAGGAGGCACGCTGGCAGCCATGCAGAAAAGCTCTCGCCATCGCAACCACCCCCTGGTTACCCAGATGGTCGAGAAGTGGCTGGACAGATACCGCCAGACCCGCCCCTGTGCCTCTCTCTCTGACGGTGAGGAGGAGGAGGATGATGACGAGTGAAGGGAGCTTGGGACTGGACACTGTAGGCTTTGGGAGAGTACCGTACTATACACATTTCTTTTTTCCTTTCTCCAAAATGTAAATCTTGTAATAATGCATGTGTTCTGTGAGCTGTGTAACGGGGATTAAAAAAAACATACCAGCACCAAGAAACAGAACCCTGATTACTGCTCCTATGAAAGCACATCAAGTCCTTTTAGTTTGCCTTCCTATACTCAGATTTCACATTTATCAAAGTATCTTGACCTGGTAGAAATACCAGGGCATATAAGAATGGATGCTGACTTAACATCCACACTATTAAGGAAATCTTGAAGCTGCACTAGATGGTAAATCTCGTTTTTACAGGATTGCCTGACAGAAGTTTAGCTAAAAACAGATGATGTTAATGCTTGTGTGAATGTTGATGCTTAAAGAGCACCTGTTTTCCTGATTGCTGATCCCACTGCGCACCCCTTCTGATGTTTGACTTATTTATTTTAGGAGCGTTAGCACGCAGAGATGATACCTTTGTTCTGCCCTGTTTTACCTGTGTTCTGTTTGACCCATTCTTGAAGTATTTTATTTTGCACAGATAATACCTACATTCTATGAGGGGAGGGGAAAATGTTCAAGTTTACTGACATTTTTTTGTGTGATTTACTAGCTCATGGTCATTTTAGAGCGGGTGGTGTTGATGCCGGTGGAGAAGAGAGAAAACCAAACACCCTGCCTCTTTTCTACAGAGTGCATTAATATTAAATTTGACTCACTTGCATCCTCTTTGTTGCCCTTTGCATTTGTTAGCACATTTCTCATTCTTGTGATGTTTGGATCAACTTAAGAATTAACTAGTTTGCTCTTTCCAACTTGCCATATTTGCAGTTACTGTTTAAATCACCCTAGGTGATTGTGTAGAGGTGTGATTTTAAATTTTGATTTTCCTGTTCCACTTAATTTAATTACAAGCTTTAAGATTATTCTTACACCTTAGAGCTTGTTTTGTTGGTGTTGAATGTTTAGTTTGAATGTGGCTTATTTTCACGAGTTACTGCTGCCATATTTTTTATGTTATCTGTTGCCTCTTTGGCGCCCCCCAGTGACAAAGGATAAAACTGAGGAAGATACACAGACCATATACAGTAAGATTACAGAAAAGTGTCATCAGAAAATGAACTTACTGCGCTGACAACAGAACACAAAGTATTGATCAAATCAGCAGTTGGTAGAGAAGGCTCTTTCTCAGAATCTTATCTTTTTATTTGAACTGCACTGAATGCTAAATGTTCACCTTGTACAAGAAACAAATACAAACACCATTCAACCAAAGAAGGAAAGAATTCAACCTTTCTTCCAACAGAACTTGCCCAAAAACCCCTAAGAAGGAAACTGTGAAGCATGACTCCATCCATGAAACTGTGTCTGAACGGCTTTATGTCATGCTTACTGGGACACTTCAAACCCACATTTGCTACCATTCATTTGTACAGGTGAGTGCTGGGGGGGATTATAAAGGGGACACACATCAGGTGAGAGGGTCTTATCCGGGACCTGCAGACAGAGGCTGTTGGTCCGGAAAGAGAGTTTTCTAGATAATGTTTCTTATTCTTGTACAGCGCATTTCTGTGCATTATGCTGGCTTTCATACTACTTGTCCATTCACACTCAAGTGCTCACACATTGATTGGACAAGCTGGGAATCCT